CCTACCCATTCAGTCACCACATAATCTATTAGTGAGAAGTTGTTCTGCTCAACAGTAGACCCTCAGGAGATTAAGTGGTGTTAAAATCTTATGTATTGAAGGCTTTTAAGATACAACTTTGACTAGCTTTCATCAGTAGAGATGTCATCAGTAGACAGGAGAGAGCCTGGGACTTCTGACACTCAGTCTAGCAGAACACCTCTCAGGATTAGCCAGACACTTGCATTCTCTGAGGACCAAATACCAGAAGTAACACACAAACACACAGATGGAAGTTAATCTTCCTACTGTGCAGCCTCTACAAGAGGCTGATCACATTGTGAGGGCACTAGGCAGAAATTCAGGCACGACGTTCCTTGCCCTTCCACCTAATTTTAACCAGAAATAGTTAAAGACTTTGTCTGTACCCAAGCTGGCCACCTCTAGAAACTGGCTTCTATTGTGTTTGCCAGATGTACTCTGCAGGGGTGACTTTCTGCTGCTCCCCCAGTATATTGGTATAAGTATGCATTCTTATGTCTACTCCTTTTATGTGCCACTACATACAAAGGCTGAGCCTGAAATCTGTCTAAGACATCAGTTTTTATACACTGAGAATGATGACCTGCAATGCTGACCCTGACCTTCAGGCTCTCACAGATACCCTGTGCATATCACAAGTTGGGAAGGAGGCCTCTTACAAAAGAGTGCGAGTAAATGCTAGTTCTGTTTAAATTTAAGAGAACATATGATCTTCTCTATAGATGCAAATCCTCCTATAAATGCCAAAATACTCAATGATTTTAGTGTTTAAAAATATGATCTTGTGTGGTGGTGGCTGCTTTCTCATGGTATTGACTGTCCTTGTCTGCTGACAGGTTTGCTAGCCTGCTTCCAAGCTCTCTTCTCCTCAGCAGATTCAGATTCCAAGACAAATTGAGGTCTCAGATACTTGCTGTGAACTGTAATGTGCAGACTGCATTTGCAGATACAGTGGTACTTACCTGTTGATGGGGCCTTAACATAAGGAGAAGCTCATGCAGCACCTAAGTCAGTGTGACCTGTTGGCCCCTGTGTAGAAAACTGTCTCCCATGGTGCTGTGATGTGAAAGAAATGTTCATATGGCAGCCCAATTTTCTGGAGTTTAGGAGGTTTTACATAGGCTGGAGGATGTGTAAAGTTTAGTCTGGTTTCATAAGTACAAGCAACTAGAAAAGATGAAGGGTCTGCAGTGTCATAAATGATTGGCATTGGAACTAGTCTTGCCCAAGTGCAAAATACACACAGTTGAGCTGGCCTTCTGCACGGTGGTGAAGTAAAGGATGAGCACAGCTATTACGTGGTCAGTTCACCACCTCACTGATGGGAATTCTCGTTTGCCCTTCCCTAGGTGTACTCTACTGATGCAGTCTGTGTTAGTGTAGATTGCACCACCCTTACCACCATGTAGTGATTAACATTTACTCATGTGGCTAGGTAGTGTGGTTTTGTGTAATGGGCAAGTATTGGGATATTATGACAAGTCTCATAATCTTTCCACTTATGAATTGAGTTTCAAGGTCTTTGATTTTGTTTAGTTTTCAGCCATTAGGAAGCTAACTCTCATTTTTATAATACCTTTTTCTCTCCCATCCATGGAAAAATAAAAAATGGCTTTACCTGAGATTGTTGAAAAACAAGCAGTGGAGGATTAGGATTTCTGGATTATTCTGCATTGGAAAAGAACCTGTTGGAGATAGACTCTAAAAAAAATAACATGTAATGGGGCTGATTACAGTAATGATTTATACAATCACTCTTCCTTGAGCTCTGCAGTTACAATGCATCATGTTCTTGACTGGATGCACCTCCCAGTGGTGCTTTACAGAAGTATACAGTACTGTAATTCAGCAATACTTCAGTAGCATTGCAACTTCAACACATCCAGTGACACAAAAAAAGCTTGGAAGACTTTAATAGGGCCCATTTTAGCATAGTTTTCTTAGTTTCTAAACACCATAGAAAGAATTTTACTTGATTTAATCAGTGATAATTCTTAACGTTGTTACTTTAAAGGATTCTTTTGTTTTGGAGGCTTGTTGAAGAGCACGAAGGTGATATTACATAAATCAGAAAAAGCAATAGACCCTGAAGTGGTACGACTGTCACTGTGTCCTTAGCTTGTTCTGCTGTACTTGGGTATTGAGAAGAACTCAGAACAGGTCTGATACAACATAGAACACCACATGACTTATGCCCCTCTACCTGGAGAGTATAGGGTGGGATAATAGCTAATAGTCTGCTTTTCAGAGATACTCAACACCAGCAATCTCAGCTGAAATGAAAATAAAAGTGGCAGCTGCTCAGAACAGCTGAAAACAGGGCCATGAAGGTCAGTCAGTAAAACTACATCCCATTCTATTTACAGCTTAACATCAGCATCTCAAAACTTTCTCTAAACAACATCTTTTTTGGTTTATTATTTCTGTTACAGTGGGGCAAGAAAATGCACTTGGTTAAGGAAGGGGCTTCAGTATGGGTTTGGATGCACTTCATTTTTCATTTGAGCCTTCTGTCTTCCTCAGCCTCAGTCCACAAGTGAACTATTTTGGAAATTTGAGGGCAGACTGTTAAGTCATTTTTCAAGTAGGCAAGAAGTGGCGTGGGAGAGATTTTCCTAGTTACTCCTGTTGCTGCTATATTTTAAAATCAGCATCTTGTTGAAAGCAAAGAGCTGAAGAATAGCAGGAAGCAAGGCCAGATTCATAATGGGTAGACAACTGTATTCACTTGGGACCTTCAAGGAAACATTAGGGATTTATTCAGTTTGAAGAGCTTGTCCTCAGTGTACATCTGTCTCTGCTTAGTCCAGTGGCAAACCTGAGATGACCCAGGCTTTGTCTTGGTTGCTTACAACCAGCAGAATCTGGAGGTAGAGTCCTCTTTCTGAAGGACCAAAGGTAGTGAGCTCAGCTCAGCTGCTAGAATGGGCAACTAGAATTAAAGTGTCAGAATAACAAATATAATGCTTAAAAAAGTGTGAGAGTATTTGAGGAAGCCAAAACTATATGAAAACTTACACCTGTATGTACACATACATGTATGTATATATGTGTAGCTTCCTGTTGTCTGTTGTTCAGTGTTCATCTCCCATTCCTGTTGCTGTATAACAGAAGTAGGTGGGAGTTGGAGCTGGGAGACTGTGAGAATGTCATGGAGGAGCAAAATGCAAGATTTGGAATAGGTGTCAACGCAGGGAGGAAAGCAGACTCTCTAAATCAGATTTGTGAGGGTAACGTAAAGTCTAATGCAAATACTGAAACAAAGACAGGAGAATAAGCCTTTGGTCCCTTTCTCTGTTAGCACATCAAATCGTGACACAGAGGGAAGGCGTTTTCAGCAGTTTTAGGAATATCTAGTTTTCCTCCATTCTTCAGGCTCATGACGTGGAGAGGAGCTGGCTTTTTTTGTGTAAAGGGATATAATGATACAGCATCAATAAAAACCTTACAAACTTAATAAAAAAAATTAATAAAATCTCTTTGCAGTAGCTGTCTGTGTAATGTTGGATGTATGATGACGTGATACTGGACAGTTATACTGAGATTCATTCAGCTTCCCCTGTGCAGTTCACTTCTGGCTCTTCCACATGGGTAATGCCAAATTCAAGCCAAGAAAACGACTGTACTTATCTGTAAAATGCATACATGCTGTTGTTGCTTAAGAACTAAATTACCTTATATAACTAATAATTTTAGTTCAGCATTTTCAGTGCTTGGATGGCATATCCTGTGTCAGGGAAGATGGTAAATATTGAGGCAAAATTGTTTCATTATGTAAGTCAAATCTCGAAAGATTTCATTGCAGCCACTGTGTGGGTGGGTGTATGTGTGTTTGTTTGTTTGATTATGTATCTGCCTACATAAACCCTCATCTTCTAGTCTACATATTTCCCTTGTCAAAAGTAAAATCATATCAAACACTGTTAAATAGTAATACTTGCACTTACATAGTGTCTTTCATCTAAGCTTCTTATACTACTTTAGTTATGACTTAATGCTTAATAATCCTGGTATGGCATAGAAAATATTATCCCCATTAATAGTAATTAAACAGAATCACAAGGTAGACAAGCACTTGTCTGTAGTGGCACAGACATTTCTCTTTCAAAGATGTATTTATTTTGAGTTGACCATCTTCCTGTAAAATCTCAGTAGAGATGAGGCATGGTAGGTTTTTTTTCAACGTATCTGCTCCAGGTCAGTCTGGGAAGTGGTTGTGTGTGTATGTGGGTGACTGTTACTTGCTGTGTATTACTGTCTGTGCTTTCTCTGTCTTTCTTTTTGGTTTTGGTTATTTGAGACTCCTTTTTTAACAAGCTTGACTGCAAGATGTGCTTTTTTTGAAGTGAGACAGTTAAGTCAGTCAGAAATGGAATAAATTCTTCTACTCTCATTCTCATACTGCTTCTAAATACTCCACTGTCCTTTTGCAGGGTGGACATATCATACAGAACTGAGACAAACCCTCTCCCCCCAGTTCTGAAATGTCTAAAAGCTATCAAAATAGTATTTGACTTCTTTTCTTTTCCAGCTTAACCCACACTATCCAGAAGGTAATAATGAAGGAAAAACTTTGGTAAGTGAAATTTATATGTTGCATGTAATCTGGGAAATACTGGATCCTTAACCTAAAATAGCCTAACACATGAAAGCCCTTCATAGCTTTCCTTTTACTTACCTGTTGTGGCCAATGGGATTGTTTTCTGTATCCTGTACAAGCTAGGGTGTATCTCACAACTGCTGGTACAGAAGGATGGAAGCTGTTCTGCTTCTTGACTATAGATGTGAAATATATCAGTTCTTCTTGAATCAGATGTATTACTTCATGGCTAAATGTACCACCCTCTTTAGCAAGAAAACCAGGGACAAGCAAGTCTGTTTACTTATGTGCCATTACCAATTCAGAGGCTCTTCTTGCAGAGACAAGCTCCCTGGGGGCATGTTTGTCAGTCAGGTGTGGCTCTAAATCTAAGGACATGCTGAAACTCTTTTTATTGCCTGTATTTGAATATATGCAAGCAGATGTTCAGGCACAGGCTTAGTCTGAGCCCTGCCACGCTTCAACTCTAGCATAACATCTTTGCTAGGATCCAAGTTGTCCTTGCTTGCAGTGTGGATGGGTTGGACAATGGCCTTATGCTCTCTGCTAAGGAGGCAACAGCCTTTGCCTTGTACAACATCAAAATTGTGCTAGCTCATTCTGACCAACAAGTCGAGGCCAGACGTGTAGTTTATAATGTGAAGGAAGTGGAGTTAAAAACTTGGGTGAATCTTACTGCTTACAAGAAATAGTCCAAAAAAGAATCATTCCTTCATCAAATTCATGAGATTGCCTTGAAAGAGCGGAGATCTTCAAAATAATTCAGCTTAATTTCTTTCTTTTTGCCTTCTGGCTTTTATTCTTTTAGAGGATACATTTTCAGGGTTTTCTCTGCACGGGGAAGAATTTTTTATTTTTCATGAAATGAAACCCAAGATTCTTACATAATCACATGCCTTCAGGACTGTAATTTTAATAAAAATGGAGACTTCTGTGGGAGTTGACAACATTGGTTTTCCATCTTTCCTGGTATTTGGTGTTAATGGTGAGAAAGCAATAAGAACTAAGCTGTCCAGAGAAATGAGAGTTGTCTCTCATGAAAATATGGAAGTTCCACCAGTTATTTCTCTTTTGTGTTAGAATGACACTTGAAGCCCTTGGAGCTTTCAACTGGAAATTGAGATGAGTTCTAGAATACCCCAATGAATAAGATGCTTGCCTGGAAGTGCTTGGGTTCATGCTCTTGCTCTGTGAACAGCAGAACTCATCTCATAGACATGCATCTGCATTGACCTTGTAATTTGTATCATGACAACACTTTTGAATCAAATCTCCAGATCATTCTCTATTCAAGACACTCCAATTCACTTTGCAGAGCAATCTCAGAACAGGCAAACTTGTATTCTATTGGATGAAAGTATAAAGATACACCCTGGAATCTGCTGCTGTGCTCCAACCTTTCATAGGTGCCCAGCCCAGAGAACCAGACTACAGCTACCCTGAAGTAAGACCTATGAAAACATGTAGAGGGTAGGCCCTCATCACCAAGGATCCAATCCTATTGTACCACACTATAATAATTTAGATATAGTGTAAAGTTCCCAGTTGTAGCAGTTCATCTCATCTAAATACATATTCCCTGCACTGGGTAATGAAGAAGGCACAAGGATGATCTGAGCACAAATGTTCCAAGTGACCTCTCTAAACAGTTTGGCTTAATTCTCCTGGGTATGTGTTTCAACTAAAAACCTAGACCAGATAAATCAGATTAGACAAATACTTCCAATGAAAATTTAATCAAAACTGATTGATGATCAAAACCAATGTCTCTGTGGAAATCTTGGTTGATGCAGTAAGCACTTTGCTGTGGATAATATTTTGTGAAAGAACTAACAATGTTTGGTAACACCTCCATGTAAATCCAACCCCACAGGCACTTCAGCATCCTAGAAATCCCTTTGGATCCTTCACCCCTTTATAGTCTTGTTGGAAATAGCAGGAGTCAGCAATGGCTATTTCAAGCTTTCATTTTGGCCTTGAGCAACTGTGCAGAAAAGCCTCACATCCCTACGCAGGAATTTCTTTTATGTTACAATGATGCAGTGTTCTGAATTATCCCTCAAAAGCACAAGAATCTCACAATGTTTGCAGTTCTTTAAGGGTCAGCTATGTCAGTCTTGTATCCAATATGTACATCATCTAGAGCACACACTTTCTTTGCTCTGTGGTTCTCAGCTGGTGTTTCTTCTGCCAGATGACTGCAAAGGAATCTTTTTAATCTTTTGAAGCAATTAATTAATTCTGAAATACTGCTGGTGAAGGGGGAGGTGGAAGTGGACCTACACCAGCAACATCTGAAGTCTCAGTAGCAGGGAAATGGGAGATGCATACTTGGATCCTTTCAACTGAAGGAAGGAACTGAGCCTGCAGGCTGTGTTTTTCATTTCTCTGTTAGTCTGTTGGACAGCAGGGGACCTGCTACTTCCCTGTCATCTGGGTTGTAAAGGTGGCATAACTATCTGTGCATATCATGCCAACCCTTAGCTCCTAAATGTGCAGTAGGGCTCCTTGGGCATGTTCACTGCCTGGTTTACAAGTAGTGATCACAGTTGCTTAGGCAACTGAATTTGAGGAAGCAGCAATGGGTGGAGGATTTTCTGTGGTGCAGTTCTGCATCAAAAGATGCCTAAGTGCATCTTTCCTGCATTGTCTTAAGTGACTTAAAAGTCTGAAATTATTTTGGCTCCAGAAAACAGAAGTACTAGTGGAAGTCACTAGGACTTTTGTCCCTGAGCATTAAAGCCATGCTTGGACTGCGATTCATTGTTCGTTGATGGGTTGCTTCTTGGCCTTAAAATGGGTTGATTGATATTCTTTCTATATTTCCCACAGCTAAACTCCAGAAGTCTTTTTACTTTAAATGGGAATACCTTTCTGTGATTTGAAGGCCTTATCAAAGAAAAGGTTTCTTCATCTCTTGAAGTTGAGAAGACTGTAGTGTATCGTGCATCAAAACGAAGTTCTCTGTATTACAGCTCCCATTAAATCCAAAATTGGTGTATCTTAGGCTATCAAGCAGCCTATTATTTCTAACCATGGAAATGTATAGCATCCAGAAGAATGCTATAAACACTGAGGAAATGTCAAGAGCAGATGGGAACCTGGCATTTGTTAGCACCTTTCTATTAGGGCTGTCTTTCGATAGGGACCTTAACTCCATTTGTTGGCAATTTCATGAGAGTTCTAATCCTAAGCAGTTCCAAACCAGCTTTCACTGTTAATATTTTTTTTAGGATTGAGACTGGTATGCATTTATTTTCTTGTACAGGAGCTGGACAGTTCTACCATGGACTTCTAAGCACAGTTTGATCTATCTCCTTTGACTTCTGTTTATCTGTATTTGTGAATTCCAGACAACTCTGCAATTAGAAGTTTTCTTTCTGTTTTTTTTTTTTTTTTCCAACCCAGGTGATCTTTTTTTCTGGTAAACACTGTAAATAATTTTTAAAAAATTTATTTTACCTCCTAGCAACTAAGTTGGTTTAATTAAAATTTTATACCATGAGACAGGTGATGCACTTTAAACAAGCAGAATAGGCTTGGAGAATTTATACTTTTTTAAAGGCTTGATTAAGAACTAACCTGACAATAAACAATCTGGGAAAAAAAAATAAAAAAAGGAGGAGGAGGAAAGAAAGATTACCAGCTTTAAAATGTCAGTGTCTGCTTATATAAAGCCAGCAGTCAGAGGACTTGAGAGTCTGGAGGGAGAAGGGGAGACACGGATGCCGGCACATTAATATTATTCTGCTGCTGCACACAGGTCTGAATCAGCTCTGAAGGTGCATACGTTGTTTCCTACAGAACATCTCTGGCTCCTAACAACAGAGTTACAACGTGATGTCTCTGCTAAAAATGCAGTGACTCACAAATGAGTCAACAGTGAAGGCGTTAGAGGGTAACTGCTGTGCTGTCTGCCAGGGCTCTGTAACGTGCAGGAGCAAGGCTGCCCATTCACTGACTCCACTTTCTTTTCATAGAGGATTTAAAAAATCATCTAACCTAGGGAGTTCTACTCACATTACCAGTCTCTGAAAACACTGGTTTTGTAAGAGCCTCCTAAACTGGGTTAACACTGAGACACCACATTGTACTGGATTTAGCAGGCATTCTCAGAGCTCTGGCTGCTATTAAATTTAATTTCTGCTGAAATCTGTAGTGCAACTTAATGTATTCATTCAGAAGCAGGACATTATCCTTGGCTGTCGCTGTGCCACAGAGGTACCTTTACTAATTGGAATTGTAGATTGGGTTTCTACAAGACAAGGTATTTCAGCTCTATCCTGGTTTTGTATTGCATTTTGCAGTTAAAAGGAAGGCCCTTCCATAAGCAAAGCTCCATGTAAATCTGCTGAGTTTAAGGTATGATACTCAGTTGAGTTGAATAATGAAGATTTGGGGTAGGTCACAATTACTAGGAAATCCTAATATGATAACTGTGAAGAAGGGTTATTTGATGGGCTACAGATACTGCTCTTTGTACCACCTGGTATTTGGACTGGGTCATTGGTTTGAAAGGTGTGGGTCCAACTCTTGTCAGGCAGAAGAGGAGCTGAATGTGTGTTTCCTTCATCCTTGTGAGCAGTTCAACCAGTGCACAAGAGAGTGAGGTGATTCCCCCTTCCTCACCTTGGATATGATTTGACCTGTGACTGCCTGTCACTGGTTTGCCAGTGGTTTGGGATGATCAAAATTTTTTATTTCCTCAGGGAATTTATTATTTTCTAATACTGTTTTCTCCACAGTTCTTGCACTTCTTCTCTGTACTCCTAGCACGTAATTCACCTGCTTTTTATTTTTTTAAAGAAGTCTTGAGAGTGCTTTCCTTGGCTGTCACTGACCACATCACCATCTCTTAAAACTGTTCATTTGCTTCATCTTGATACTGCTTTAAATTGAATCTTCTCTCTATATTTGGTTCCCTTTACAGTTCCTTTCCTCCCTTCTCTTCACTGAATCAGGTTTTGCTGGCTGCATCTGCTTGTATGCCCGTTTCTTACCTGTGCAGATGTCATCCTGTTTTCATCTGCTGAGGGATGCAGTGCTTCTCCTGACCTGATCATATTGTCCAATTAATTTGAAGTAGTCTAATACTTTCACTTCTTTCCACACCCTCACATACACTCACCTGCTGATTCAGTAATGGCTTGTTTAAATGCAGATTCTGATGACTGCTGCCTAAACTTAATTACTCATAAGAAACTTTGTGTATGTCTCTCTCACAGAGCCATGTGAACATGCACTCAGACATAAATATAAATCCATGGATGCTCATACTTAACCATTTTTTGCTCTCATACACTCCATGCATTTCAGTTGTTTTCAGAGCTGTCAAGTTGAAGGTAACTTCTTGTTACATGGGTTTTTTTTCCAACACTCATTATCCAGGTTGTGAGGTGTGTCTGAGATCCTAAAATAACATTATAAAGAGAGTTCTAAGATTTGCACCCAAGTCCAGTCTGGAACTACTGTACAGCTTTTGTCTGATTTTGCTCAGCTAAGCTTTACATTGCAGTTAGCAGTGTTGCAGACACTGTCTTGCCTTCTGTTGAAGTGGACTTTCTTTTTAGACTACTACAGACCTCCTGGATTTAAAACTAGTTTTCCAGTTTTCCATTTTGTTTGTTAATGTAGGAAGTAAATTTTCATTTGGTATTAGGCTCTGACTGACACCTGTTAAGGTCTTGAGAGGTTTGTCTTACAGCTTACTAGCCTTTCCAGTTTGAGTCTCATCCTGAGTATGTAGACCAAAATATATATGGAAATGACAAAAAAACCCTCTTTATTTTATCAATCCTTGCATGCAGGTTAGTTTTTTTTTTTCTGTGAATTTGTTTAATATTTTTTTGGTCATAGGATATGGTAGGATCTGAGGACTGCTAGATGAGTTTAATTCAGTGTGAGAGACAGGAGATGATTGCCCTGTGTCTCAGCAAATCTTCCTATCAAAAACTATTGACAATACTCTAATGAGTAGATGAAGCTAAGAAAAACTTTTAGGAGGATTTCTTCCTGTGTTTTTCCTACTGTCTTTGTCTTTGCTAGAGGCAGGGGGATGGAAAGCTGGCATTTTGTAGGCTTGATAATGAAAAAATGGTTGTTTTGGAAGGATTCAAAGAGTGCCTTGAAATGAGATAACTAGTTATTTCTTACGTAGTTTCACTCATCCTTGATTTTGTTGCTTAATCTCAAATGGCAATATGAACAATCAAAGCTTTGCTCTTGATTATCCCTTACAGTTTGGTTTTAATCAAGGTACTAAAGCAAACCAAGTACAGCTTAGCCTCTTTACATGGCTTTGTATTTCTCTTCCCTAGTGGTGCATTATAAATCATTATAATACTATTTCAGGTTGCCAGTGGTTGATTTTTCTCTTTTGGCTTTCTTCATTCCTCTGTTCCTCTACCTCCATGATATATTTTGTTTATGTGAAGGGCCCCGGGCAGCCAGTCTCTTAATTGGTTATTAGTCTTTTGTAATTTGTGTAACTCAACACCCCAGAGGAGCAGCTTTTACTTATGCCAGTTATTCAGTTGGTTGCTCTGTGGTGACAGGCACAGAATCAGAATTGCTCCTTCAAGCAAAGATATGTGCTTATGGAAGGTAGCATCTGGAGTCTGTGAGGACAAAGGTGTGTAGGTAACTAAGGATGAAGGATGGCTTCTTAGTGGTGCTGGGTCCCAGAATTCCAGCAGACTTTCAGCAGCTGGAGAGAGGAAGATCACCACCTTAGAGTCACACGTCTCTCTTGAGCACCAACACAGCTTTGTAAATCTGTCACTTGGAAGCTAGGCTCTTGGAAGAGACCAAACTTCTTCAGTTGCAGCGGGCAAACTCAGACCTGTGTTGGATCCAGCCTCCAATGTGTTATCAGCCTGTGCTAGGATTTCTAGTATAATCTAGTTCATGCTTTGTGTCTCCCCTTTCCAATGACAAGTTGATCTTAGTAGAGCAGATATTCTGCCTCTTGCTGTTTGTCAAGTGTGCTGCTGTGATTCTGACCATATGAGAGGAAAAAATAAACAAACTTAAGTAAACTAGCAGTGGATTTAGGCAAAATGCTTACTCTTTTAATCCCTGCCTCCCTTTAAAAAAATCCAATTTTCATTAGTCCTTTTAACTTGGGCCCTTTCCAAACCTGCACTGCGTAGCTACATCTATTGGGAGTGAAGGGTCTGCAACTCCCACAGGTTTTTTGAAGTTGTAGGTGTCAAGTAATAAGATATACACTACTGGCAATCTCTCTGCAGCTTGTGACCTGCTGTTGTTATAATGACTGCCTGAGACCCCGTGTGCCTGGGGCAAAGTGCATCCTTTGTGTTCCTACTAGAATGTAAAAAAAAAAAAGGTACAATTCAGACTTATTACTTGTCTGCAAGGTAATTGGAGAATTTATAATGGGCCCTGATGCAAGCAAATAACCCTTGTGCCTAATCAGCAGAGAGATGGCGACCTTCCTGCTTCAAAGAAGAAACGCCAGGCAGGGGAGAAGATTATGTACACTTTGGTCTCTGTGCCACATGGAAATGACATTGCATCTCTCTTTGAACTGGATGCCACCACTCTTCAGAGAGCTGATTGCCTGGTTCCAAGGTAAAAAAAAAAAAAAAAAGAGGGGAAAAAATAGTGCTGCATTGACAGGGTTTCTTCCTAGCGTTATGCTGGTGAGAAAAGCAGAAAAAAATCAAACATGAGCAAGTATTATCCTTCAGTTAAAATTTAAGGAGTGTTCATGGATAAACAAGGGATGTATAAAACATGATACTGCTGCTGTGACTGAGTGAAATAATTATAAGGATAAAAAAGTGACACAGAGACTCTGTGAAGAGAAAAATAACAGGCTAAATATTGCACAGATATATATGAGGATGGGACTGAGCAGTGTGCAGTGTTTGGAAAAACTGTGCTGCTAACTGAATTGTTCCCAAGGAAATAATAATGCGTGTGGTGAACTGGGCTTCTGATTCCCTGACAGATCACGATGCCACTGAGGACATTTGTTATTCAAATGAACTCAGCAAGTGGCTTCTGACTTTTCCTTGTGAATATTTGAAATTTCAGCTGTGTTCCTTAGCTGAGATTGGGTAGGTAAGTCACAAGGTGTTGGCTGTGACTGAATGGGCATGCAGACACTCAGGGCTAATTGTTAGGAGGGTGGATTTTAAAGCCGGGTACCTGCAAATACTGATGTATGCAGCTTTGAAGTGTATGTGCTGTGCTCAGTTTCTCCAGATAATTTGCTTACTTGAATACTCGAAACCCATCAGCCTAAAAGGGAGGGTATGAATGAAGACCACAGTGAATATATTTAGAAAGTAGGATTCCGAGTAAAAATCGTAATTCATTTCTCAGCTCTGCTTTTTGTAATACCAGAGATTATCATATGGAAAGAATGCAGAAGAATCTTGTGTCCCTTCTTTGTTCACTTGATTTTCAGTTGAGAACTGGGACTGTAAATACTTGCTTACTGGCACAGGGGTTTGCAGATCATAATTGTGGGGCTGTGAAACCATGGTCAGTTTTACTGTCTGGCTTTTGTGCTGTGACAGTTTGAAAGATTTACTCTGCAGAAGAAAATAAGAAAAGAATTGGTTTTAGTCATTCAATGTATTTCTACTCAGATGGGATTTTATAACACCTTCCTTTTAATTTTTTTTCTTTAAGGAATATTTTACTCCTAGGCTTATATAAATACTTAAAATGAGCATTCTGCATAATCCCTAGATGCTGTTTGTTCTTGTTGCAGCTCTGTTCTAGGTGAAAAAGGAGACAAGGGGAAGGGGTAGTACAGTATCTTTTAGGTCTCACTCACCCTTTTATTACAAATGGCTGGTGTGGCTCATGCCCTCAACTCTCCTGTCAGGGTCATGTGTTGCATTGCATCCCACCTTGCCCACTGTAGCTCAGGACTGATCATCTAACCTGTTATTTGCTTTGTTCACCTTCAGGAACTCATATGTCCGACTGAGGCATTTGTGCACTAACACTTGGGTCACTAGTACCAGCATTCCAATAGATACTGATGAAGAGAGGCCTGTGATGTTAAAGGTAAAATCTTGGGATTGAAATCCCAAACTCATTCCTGAAGTTCTCTACTGGTGATGTCACTTCTGACATTTAAAATACTCATCATAATTAGGATAAAGATAAGAGGATTGCTTACCCACATTAAACCAAAAACTATTGCAGATTGGGACGTGCCAAACAAAAGAGGACAAAGAAGCTTTTGCCATTGTGTCAGTTCCTCTCTCTGAGGTCAGAGACTTGGACTTTGCCAATGACGCAAATAAGGTTCTGGCATCAACTGTTAAAAAGCTGGAGGATGGAACAATAACCCAGAATGAAAGGAGGTTAGTGAGTTTATTTTTTTTTAACCTCCTAAATTAGTGTCACGATGTCATGAGTAACAAACATCCCAGTAATGGGTAAGTTACTAAGACCTGTATGGACATTGAGGCAAGTGGGAGAGGACAGTTCAGTGCTGAGAGTGCTGGCCTGGGATTAGATTCCATTCTGCTACAGCATCCTTGCAGCACCTCAGGCTGGTCTGTGTGTCTCATCTGCAAAATGGGGATAAACAGCACTTCCCCAGCTTGCTGGCCACATAAATAAATAGGTATCTCCCTGGGCAAATGCAACATGCTTGTCTTAACTTCCTTTGGTAAACCACTTCTGAGCTGTAATATGTAATATCATTGCATTTGATTCTCATGTAAAAAAAAAGCCATTCAAGAAAAAAAAAATTCTCATGTGAAAGGAAGAAATTCAGTGGACAGCATAGCAGGACTCTTGATTTGAGTAGAGTTCACTGTACCACACGTTCATGCTGTGGGAGCAGTAGAAGGAGGTCTCAGAGTGACTGAGAAGCTGCCACAGTAGCCCTTCCCTTTCTTATTTCTATTTTTCCCTGTTCTCTTTTCCTATTTTACTTCATTTTGGTGTTTACCCTTGTATTCATCCATGTTTCAGCTGTACTGCTATTAGAATGTCTGTTCTTCACACCTGCCCCTGAATTAAGGGATTTTTTTTGTACGCTGCAGCCAAATAAATCCCACTGCCAGTGATGCAGTTCAGTGTTTGCTTTCAGCTGTCTCTGGTTAAACTGAGTATTAGACAGCATCTCTGGCAGTGTTAATTTGTAACTTCTATTCCACCATGCATCATATACAGCGTTTTGCTGAAAATGTTAGTTTTTGGTGATAGAACGGAATTTTTGCTGTTGGTTGTCACTGGCAATTAGACCAGGTGGTTTAATATTGGGTGGAGGATTTATCTTAACAGGCAAATCTGTAATGGCCTAGGTGTTGGTACTCAGCCTTGAAAAGCTGATGGGCTATTTCCTGATTGAGTTGAACCAGAGAGGGATGTGACATAATCAAGGTGTGACATCCCTGTATTAACCTTGCACTGCTCTGTCACTGCAACCCCATATTGTCAAGTCTTGATGTTGACAGATTGGTACAACACATGTCATACATTTCAGTGTGATTTCAGAGCAGTGCAATTATTTGTTAGTTCCTGTGGTTTCCTTTGGAAAAAAGCCCCTCTTTTCCCTGGCTTACCACCTTCCTGCATACGTAAGTAGGAGCCCAAACAGTTTATTCCTGCTTCTTCCATCCTATATCTACCTTTTCTATTTTCTGTTGAGAGAGGACCTTACTGCTCTCCCCTAGTGGGCTGAGACTTTCAAAGCTAAAGCTCACTTGGAGGGTTCAGCTAAACCAGCCCAGCTCTCTTGTGGGCAATGGAAGCTTTGTGTCTGGCTCCCAGAGATGACTGAAAATCTGCTGGATATCTTCCTGCCACTTTCATAGCTTGCCTATGGGTTTAGTAATTATAGACTAGATGTTATCCAAACTCAGGTGATGCTGCCACAGGGTTGGAGACATGTCGTTTTTGTTTGTAGAAGATTGATAGTTCTTTTAAGGGAGATTCATTGAAATCTGTGGGCATCTCTACTTCTCTCTGTGCATGCCTGGCAAGGGATGTTAGTAACAAGGAAACAAGGACTGCTTTCTTTCTGCATTTGCATTTGTTTTCTTTCTTTTTGTATTTTGTGAAGGTAGGAGAGAAGGAATTACTACTGCCTCTGTCCTTTTTTAGCACTTGCTTCTGCCAAATCTTTTGTATAGCAAAGAGAAACAAATATAGTCTTTTTTCAATAGTTTCTTTGGTCAGTAGGGAAATAGTCTAGTGGCAGAATGTTTTTATTCCTCCGAGTCCATCATATTGTTTCTTGGACCCATGTCTGTGATAAATGTATAAAAAAATCTTGCTAGGCTGGGTAAGAATGTCTTTCTACTCTTTTCCTGGGCCTTGAGGCCAGCTGGTATAGATTTTAGATTTCTGAATACTCTGCATCAATCCAACATCCTGTATTTTTCTCCTTTTTCCCTCTGGTTGTTGCTTAATGCCTTAGTAAACATCTCTGTGATGGATTTAAGCCTCTGCTGAAACACAGTCTGAAATTCTTAAGTACCTGTCAAACTTAACTTTGCATTGATGTTCCATTGTGCTAGATAAAACTTGTTCTAAATGGTGATTTTCTCTCTTAATGAATCCTAGCAAGTGCTGAATGACTGTTTATAATGATTTGTCTATTCATTCTAGGTTTGTAACCAAGTTACTGGAAGATCTCATTTTCTTTGTTGCTGATGTGCCTAATAATGGGCAGGAAGTTTTGGATGTGGTGGTCACCAAAGCAAACCGGGAACGACAGAAATTAATGAGAGAACAAAATATATTGGCTCAGGTATGTCCTCCTGTAGTAATAAATTGGTTGTATTTGCAAACAGGTCGTAGAAATGATTTGAAAAAAGTTAGTTTTTAAGTAATTTGGCTGATGCCCTGTTGTTTTTGTGTCTGGTTGGGCTGGATAGGTATCACACCACTTAGTCAAGGCTCACCTCTTGGTCTGTGAATCAGATGGAGTATGATAGACATGCCATGAGGGGTCATGCCTGATGGCTGTTAGTTCCATGTGGTTCTGATGACTTTTAAGACTACATTTGACAGCAAATTCTTGATGAATTTTGAAACAACCTTGCAATGTGGTCCAAATCCTGCAAGTGTTCCCCACATAGGAAAAATTGTAATGCCCTCATGAATCCCTGACTTTGTATGAGGGCAAATTTGCATGTAAATCAAAGTTAGGTCTCTTTAAGTAGCCTACTGAAATTTGAAAAAAAAAAAAAAAGTTAAAAGGATGAAATTGGATAGCAGACAGCATTGTCCTCCTTCTTCACTTTAATTTATCCAGAATTAAGGCACTTCATTGACAATGTTTAAAATTGGGGATAGCAGTAAAGAGAAAACAATGTCAATCAAGTTAGTGGGAAAAAAAAGCTGAACACACAAAGCTGTAATGTCTGAGATTGTGCCCCCAGTTGTGTGTAGTCATCTGTAGGTAAGTGCAGTGATTCACTACTCACTTTGGTTGATAAGGCCCTTGTGCTAATCCTGTTAGAAGACATTTCCATTGACTGCTGCAAGTTAAGCAAAAACCTGAGTTTTGTGTTCATTCTCAGTGACTGTGATTTTGAACAGGTATTTGGCATTCTCAAAGCTCCTTTTAAGGACAAAGGTGAAGGGTCGATGCTGAGGCTTGAAGACCTGGGTGACCAGAGATATGCTCCATACAAATACATGTTAAGGTTATGTTACAGAGTTCTCAGACACTCCCAGCAGGACTATAGGAAGAACCAGGTCAGTGGTATTCAAGATCATTTTCCTCCTGATTTCTGTAATTACATACCCTGAGTTTGACATCACTCCTTGCAGGTACACATGGGGTTTATGGGAATGGTGAAAGGACTGAGTTTTGTGTAGGTTGGTGGTAAGAACTCAGTCATACACAGCGTTTTTGTTTTGTAGGCATTTGTAAATGAATTGAATGCTCAGCAATGAGTATCATAGGTTCACCTTGTACTTTTGCAGGGTCTGACTAAGACTAGGGTCCATTTCGTTATTCTTGAGCTTTCTGTTATTAAAATTATGCTCTTGGACTCTGGATTATGAAGTGGGAAGTCTGCAAAACTGTTTCTGTAATTCAAATATATGTAGAGGGATGGCAGCGAATCAGACATGGGGTTATTCTGTCAGGTAGCCTGATTTCCCACTCCTTGTCAATGTTTCAGAACATGGTGTCAAGTGCTTTGCACATTGCAGTAGGGTAAAACTGTACTAACTTTATAGGACCAAAGGGACTAGCAATAAAATATTTAACTGCTCTGTGTGGCTTCTTTGTTTTCTTTTTAGTGCTTTATAGAAATATTTCTGTCTTGGAGGGAGAGAAAGGGAGCGGGGAAGACTCAGGAAAGAAAGTTTCTTAAATGTAAAAACCTTTTGGGTTTTCCTTTTAAAAAGAGTAGTTGCCATTTCTTGAATTTTGGGTGTATTTTCATGGATTCATTTCCTTTTGCTTATGTAAGAATAAGAATTAGTCATCCTTAATACCGAGTAGGTTTCTTGAGGTACCTTTGGGTGTAGGGATTCTTTTGTACAGTTTAGACATTCTTTGGTTCAGGCCAGTTCAGAGAGGAAAGTTTTGAGGGTTATTTTGGTTGCTGATGGAGCTGGATGCTTCTGTTTCTAAAAGACAAACATCACTGCTTAACTAGTCATCATGGGAATTTTCATGTTTTCAGGAGTATATTGCTAAGAACTTCTGCGTCATGCAGTCCCAGATTGGCTATGATATCCTGGCAGAAGACACCATCACAGCTTTGTTGCACAACAACAGAAAACTGCTAGAGAAACACATCACAGCTAAAGAAATCGAGACATTTGTTAATTTGCTCAGGAGAAATCGAGAGCCAAGGTTTGGAGTGATCCATGTAACAGTCTTTTTCTGCATGGATAGGATTTTATATTTGCAGTAGCTGTGAATCTGCTTGCTATTCATTGTTTTCTTGTTTCTTTTTCCCAATTTAATTATTTTTTTTTTTGGCCTGGCAGATGGAAGCCCCACAGATACAGTGGGATTTGGGCTTATTTCAGATTGGGGCAAAGAGAAGCAAAACTGAAATTTTAATTTCTCATAACTCTATGAAACTGCCACTTGTGTTGGTTCCCCTGCTAGTAATCTTGGTGCAAATCACACAGATGCCAGTATTTCTAAGCTTTTATTAATACCAGTTTTCCTGCAGGTTCTGATTCCAGGTCAGACCTGAAAGGGTCCTAGGGCAGTGAAGATTCCAGTGAACATTTGTGCTAGACCAGATCTTTTTCCAGATGAAAAATTCTGGACTTTAACTTTATGCAGTTAGAATTTTTTTTTATTAGCTTTACATCAGAATATAAAGGAAATGGATTTTTAAAATGGAAAATCTGTACTTTTTTCTGTGGCAGTCTCCATGACTTTTCATGGAGAGTTTTGGAGACTTTTGCAGCACTGTTCGTGTGAGTAAGAACTGTGGCAGTGTGCTCTAAAACATGAGAGCTACAAAATTTAAAACCTTCCTGAAATTGAGCTCCAACTAGGTAACTCCCCCAGAATTCTCTGTAATTATGTGCTGTTTACTTCATATTATCCTTGTGATGCAGTATTGCTGTGTGCTGTTAATTACCTGCTGCCACAAAGCTTCATTTCAGTGATGGGTAAAGTTGCTCCTAAGTGTGACCTAAATACTGGTGCTGTACTCATCCCTTGCAGTTCCTAGACTTCTGTGGGGAGTGTGAGCTGTGCTAATGAAGAAAGGATTTTATGATTCCCTCTGGTAGGATGATCATCTGTAGAGGTTCAAGGATCTCTAATGGCTGCTAGTAGATGTTTTACCTGGATTTATAAGGAAGTGGAGCAGATAATACATGCATGTGCCTGCTCATATCTGCTCCCCCATCAGCTCCTGAACCTCTTGCCCAGTTTTAGCTAAATTTGCTACTGGTGGGCTCAGAGATACTCAGTTCCTATGAGTGTCATGAAAAGAAGCAGCTCCACAATCCTTGTTAAACATCAGAAAAACTAAATTTGAGAGGCAAATTCATAGACAGCTGATTCCTGTGCAATGCTTTGTTATTTCTGCTTTACATGGAGTGACCTCTTTGAATGTAGAGGTTCTGTCGTCAGGTCCTGATGGCTCTTTGCTAACTGTTGCCTGTGTTACCTCAAAGATTTTTCAAAGACATCTTTAAAAGGTGGAGGTGTGGACTCCTCCAGTGCAGTGGAATCTGTCAGAGGGCATGTGGCTGTTTCCAGTACAAGTAACATCTCCTTGCTACTTGGGTTAGGGAGATGTTTTTTACCTGATGAGGAAGATGGGTGAGAATGTGCACTCTTGCTTTTGGTTCCTGACAGGGATGAGGGCCTTCAGTGGAGCTCCTCTGTCAGCCAAACTTAAGACAGCCTCAGGCTGCTTTAAGTATTGGCACAACTCTTTAGACTCTGGTTTTCTAAGAAGTGTCACACTTTGCATGTTTTTCTTTTCTCTCCCTGACTGATTCAGAGGCAGCCTGAATGGTGCTGAACAAAGCTAGTCCTCATCTTTATTTGTTGTGAGTTGCAATAGGATGAATCAGCAGAGATCATGTGTTGATAAATCTCATGATATGTGCTCCCTGGAGCCTATCAGTGATGGATAACAGAGATTTCTACTGTATTTTTTCTGTGTAGTATTTTAAGTCTCATGTTCTATTGCATCTGTGTTTTTTCTACTGCAGATTCTTGGATTACCTATCAGACCTGTGTGTATCTAACACCACAGCAATACCAGTAACTCAGGAACTCATCTGCAAGTTTATGCTGAGCCCAGGGAACGCTGACATCCTCATTCAGACCAAGTGAGTGTCCGAAATCAGAACATGTTTTTTTGTTATCTGCTCTGTTGTTGTATTTGCAGCAGTTTTCTAGTGGCCCCATTGTGAATGGTTTGTGTTTACAGGCTGGTTTCCACACAAATGGACAATCCCTTGGAATGCCCAGTCATCTCGGATGACATTGATGAAGAGGAAGTGTGGCTTTACTGGATTGACAGTAACAAGGAGCCTCATGGCAAAGCCATCAGGCATCTGGCTCAGGAGGCAAAGGAGGGCACAAAAGCTGATTTAGAAGTACTTACCTACTACAGGTAAAACTGCTTACTCAGATGGAAGAAAATGTAAACTCTCCAAAGCCCCTGGTGCTGTTCTTACCCAATCATGTGCAGTATCAAAAAAGGAAGCCAGGTCATGCCAGAAAAGGGAATTAAAAGTTTGTTTCAAGTTTTTCCTGTAGGAAGCATCACAATCTCTGCTGTCTCTTCCAGACAGATCCTGAGTTTCCTTTGCTTATGACAACTCTTTGTGACTCTATCATTTTGCCTCTTACCTTTTCTTTATTGAGAGTTGTTTTAGGTTGTTTTGCCTGGGAAGCAAGGCATGCTCTGAGGAGGGGGTGTCCTGAGGATTAGAGGAGAAATGTGATCATGGAACAGCATGTTACACTGACTGAAAACAAATAGTCCAAATCCTCCAGCTTTCCATTGAACAATGCTTTGAGTTTCAGGGGGAGCCCAGTCTTTGTGGGGCCTGGACCCTGACATTAGCAATTTAATGGCAAGTTGAGCCCTGGTTTGGCAAAGTCGCTCTTGTTATTTTTTAGGATTTATATCAGAAAGTCTGACATGAGGCCTGCAAAATGAGTTTCTGAGATAGGTTGTTTCCTTTCGCTTCACACACTTTCCAACTGATACTTTGAATGCCACATGTTACTACCTTTGTTTTTTTAAGGTATCAACTGAATCTCTTTGCAAGAATGTGCCTGGACCGCCAGTATCTTGCCATCAACCAGATTTCTGCCCAGCTGTCAGTAGACCTGATCCTGCGGTGCATGTCTGATGAAAGTCTCCCTTACGACCTCCGGGCTTCCTTCTGTCGGCTCATGCTGCACATGCACGTGGACAGAGACCCTCAAGAATCTGTGGTACCTGTCAGATATGCCAGATTGTGGACTGAAATTCCTACTAAGATCACCATTCATGAGTGAGTTGGAAGTGTTTCAAACTGAAGTCCAAAGGCGTTTTGTAAGGGTTAGTCTCAGACAGAAATGGTTGTAGGTGCCTCATGTTGACACAACGTGTATGTGAGAAGGTATTTTGTTGCAGAGCACACAGCTATTAATTATTGTTACTCTTGGAAACTTCCATGGGTAGCTTTACGTAGAAATATTGAATTTTCATTTTTCACTGTGTTCTTGTAGGGAACAAGCCAGGGAAAAATGGAATGGTCTTTCCTCAAACCAGCTGAACTTGGAGTGATCCAGTTTTGTCTAACATTAGAGATTTGCTAAGCTGCAGCTCAGTTTTGTGCTTCAAGCTCAACTGAAAGTCACAGTTGAAGAGCCAGAGTTTACAGTGAGGTGCAGCTATTGCCCCAGAAATGTAGAGGCTTTGGCCTCCATCCAGAAAAGTACTTAAGCATATGTTAAATTTAAGTATGGGAGGACCCACTGACTTCAGTGGAAACCCTCTCTGGCTTAAGTGATCTGATGGAGCAGCGTCACTGGGCTAGACCCAGACAGGGAGTATCTGGCTGAAGAGACAGAGGAAGAAGTACAGCAATGCAGCAGACAGTATTGCTTCTGTTAGTGAGATGAAGGGCTGGTTTGGCACACACGAAAGAAAAATCAGTCCTAGTTGGTAGGGCAGAGGAGGAAGCTGACTGTCCCAGGCTGCTTTCCTGCTCTGCTGTCTTCCTGACAGAAGTAATGCACTCTGACTGGTGGGTAGAGAGGACAGCTGAGACTTGGTGACTTATTTAATTGCCACAGCAAGATTTAAGAATGCTATCTGCCAGAACTGTTTCTGTGTCTGTTATTCCCCCTCTGCAGCCTTTCCTGGTACTGTTGGAGGGAAGGTTTGTGCATCCTCTTCGTGTGTCTATGAAGAGTAATCTGACCTCTACCCCTGCTCCTTAGAGAGAACTGACTGTAATTTCTTAGCATCATGATTAGTTTATGTTTTCTTTAGTGACAGCTGATCTTGATATTAGGGGTGTTTAATTTTCCTTTACTCTATGCCTTGTGTTGTAGGTATGATTCTTTCACAGACTCTTCAAGGAATGAAATGAAGAGGAAGTTTGCCTTAACTATGGAATTTGTGGAAGAGTACTTGAAAGAAGTTGTAAATCAGCCCTTTCCTTTTGGAGACAAAGAGAAAAATAAACTTACATTTGAGGTATTTCTTAGCTATCTGCATCCTACTTACAGTATTCCTCCTCATTTCAGATAAGATTGGTTCTTTCAAGCCAAAGGTAGCTGCAGAATAAATGCTGGTGTAATATGTCCTAAAGAAGCACCAATTCCTAATTCCAGTGTTTTAAATATGGTCTGAAATTCCTGACAGAAACTTTAGATAGGTCTAAATCTTCTAGATTCAAATAACATTGAATAAAGGGCACATGCTTACAGCTTTTATAGCTCTTCCTCCAACCTACCTCCCAAGCTTTGCTGCTGCTGCCTCTGGTCGTCTGAAATCCCCTCCATTCAAACATAGCACAAGCATCTTACCCTTCTTCTGACTTCCATCTTCCCCACAGCTGCTGCCTCTTTAAACAATTTCCTGGACTCTTTCTTCTCAGTCTTAAATATTTTCCCAGCTGCAATTTTATCTTTTCAAACCTTCCTAAAGCTCATTTTGATTTTGCTCTCTCTGCTGTAATTTAACTGCCCAGTTGTTTTGTCTGACTCTGAAAAACAGTTAACACTGGCCTTACTCCAAGGCCTGTTTAAATCAGTGGAAAGACTTGTGCTAATTTGAATGTCCTCTAGATCTGACTCTCTGAAAGCTGCAACTGTATTATTGCACAACCAAATACCACAAAGATTGCTGATACTTCCTTAATTTTTGTTTCTTTGTCTCACAGGTGGTACATCTGGCTCGAAACCTCATATACTTTGGCTTTTATAGTTTCAGTGAGCTTCTCAGACTGACCCGGACGCTGCTGGCCATTCTAGATATTGTTCAAGTTCCTATATCATCATACTTTGAAAGGTTGAGCAAGTTTCAGGATGGAGGTGAGAGAAGCAGCAAAGACTGTTATTCCAGTGTTTGATTAATTGTTTAGGTTGGAAATCATTTATGCAGTGTCTCACTGATCTTTCAAGGTTCTTTATTCACACATAAAGCCGCCTACAGGAATGTGTTGCAGGGTCCATTAGGATGGTCAGCTAAAAAGGAACTTTTTGAAACAGATCTGCAGCCTTCATGACTTGTGGTTACTATGTTGGTGCTGCTGCTCCTTTGCTTGTTTGGAACTGAACTTTCAAATCTGGACCTAAGCCTCAGTGTCCCTTGTGCTGAACAGCATTTGCCTGGGCACAGCAGTTATGATGGCTCATATGTGGCACAAGTGTTTCTTAGTTGTCTTAGCTCTTCCTGTGAAGGGAGAATCTGATGTTACTGGTCTCAAAACTGTAGAAGCACCAGATATGAGTCCAGATGAAGCCATCCTCTGCATGTGTTTGTCAGTTTGGATGTTATTTTCATAACCCAGGCCACAGTGCCTGTCTGGCAACCCCAGGACAATACTGTATGTCCTACTGCCTTTTCTACTGTGGCTTAAAACTGGCTGAAGAATGAGCATGCCAGGAAGATGCTGAAGCTTAGCAGTTCAGTTTCCCTGTGTGCGTGGAAGGGGGAGGTGTGACAGTCATGTGGGCTGAGAGTCCAGGAGACTGATGGCAAATATAGGGCTGTTATAAGTGTTACTGCACTGCCAGCTGGCACACAGCACCCAAAAGGATGAGCTGTCTTTTTTGAAACAACAAGTACTTTGTATTTTCTTTGGGAGGCCATTTCCTAGCCTTGAGTTTTTCTAATCATCATTTTGCTCAGTCACTTCTACAGGAGGCATGAGTGTGCCATCCTTCTTCTTTGAGGTTCACACACTCTGGAGAAGTGTAGATTGTTATTGTCATCTCTGAGCCAGGAAGTCTTATGTTTGCTTCTCTCAATCTTTTTTTTTTTTCAGTACAGTTTTCTGAAATCCCCTGGAAGTCTTTCCTGCAATGCTGTGTACACTAGGGCATGCTATAGCTGGCTGCAGTCCCTCTACAGCACTAGAGAAAGACTCTATGTTCAGACACTTGGAATTATGTTTCCTTTTTTTGTCCTTGGAATACTGCATTGCAGACTCTCTTCTTAAATGGCTCTGGAGGTGGTTTGACTCTAGATACACTCTTGGCATATTGGCAAGATGGGATGTGCAGATGTGGTTCTAGCATTTAGTTCTCTCTGCTCAAGTCCTTGAAGTCCTTATACAACTCATTCAGTGTTTTTACTTGCTTTCATTACCCATAAAATTGTGTTTCTTCCTTAATTCCCTTCTATTTCAGTCAAAGGGTTTCCTTTCAGGCTGTACAGGAGAGGAGAGAACCACCTATTAAGTGCAGACAGACTTGCTCTCAGTTATACTAATTTCCAGAGCAATTCCATGCAAATCAGTGAACTTATTCTGAAATAAATGTGTGAAGGAATGCAGGAAATGTCACCACCATGCAAATGGAAGCTCAGTAGCCTTGTAACAACCATTGACTGGAGCCTTGTTGGAAACTTTTGTCATGAATCTGTTTTTGTCTCACATTGTCAGTAAAAAAAGGCATGGAACAAAAGTGGGGGTTTTTTTGTGTGTCTTTGATTAACTTTGGCCCTTATACAGATTCTTTTAACTTGTTTCTTGGTGGTAGTTGCCTCCATGGACATTTATCTTTTAAACACCAAACCAGTTCAGGATGTGACAATCCACTGATGTTCTTTTGGAAATGATCTGTGAGTTGGTTTTGTTTGTTTATTTGTTTCCCTTTTTCTGCTGTGTGGCTAGAAAGCCCATTGCTTTATAGGGAGTTTTTCAGTAGCTCAGGCTGTTGTCAGTTGTGTCTGCCATCTTAAGGGAGATCAGATATAGAGAAATATATCAGTTATTGTGCTGTCTAGCCTCCAAAATAAGCATTAAAAATAAGCTTTGAAGTTTTTCTGTGGAGAGACAGGTGTTCTTATGTTGAAATAGCTGTAATAGCTGACTTGCTGGAGAGGCCCTCTACAGTCTTAGGCAAAAGAAAAGGATACCCATCTTTGGATGGTCATACCTTGCCTTCAGCCTCCCTCTTCTTTTGTGATTGACAGGTCATAAACCACATAAACTGTGTGTTCACTTTGCAGTTGAGACAGAATGATCCTGAATGTTTAACTGGTATGTGTAGGCATCTTACCATTTCTCCTCCTTTCTCTGGAGTTGCATCCTTACCTACCCATGGGCAGCATGAGGCTATGAAGATGCTTACGTGACAAGGATGCATCATTTAGAAGCAGTTTAAGCAGTTTGGTAACTCCTGTTCACTGTTTTTGAGCAACCAGCTCATAGACCTTCATGCCCAAAGAACGTAATTCACATCTGAAAAAGATATTACTCAATAAAAAAAGGGGAGTACTTTTCATTAAGAAAAAACACACAAAATCCAATCAGCATTAATTGTAGTTGCAGGTTAAGATTAGAGAGGTAGCTCAAGAAGAAGGCACCAGGTACAGTAGTTGTTGACATTGTGGAGACAACAGATGTGGCTGAAATGTCTCCTGTTTGTAACTTCTGCCTGTCTTTGCCTCATGTGGAAGCCTGCTAGTGAGCAAAGAATCAGACTGTAGGGGAAGGACATTGGCTGGCAGAGGTTGTTCCAGTTCCTGGGGCTATGAGAGTTTGTGCCAGCTAAGTGTTTAGCTCCACTATTTTTTTCTTTTCTCTCCTGTTTGTTTTTTTAAAAACCTTTTGCCAGGTAGGAGTCCTTTAAAACCAGCCCTGTAGTTGTCTTGCACCCACATCCTGATTATATCTTTGCTCCTAGGTGGTGAGAAGGTTTGAATGAGCCCCTAAACACACAGATCTCTTGACCTGCTTGTGTGCTGTCTGCCTGGTTGGGTATTACTTGGCCATAGCTGAGGTGTGGTGAGCCCACACTGAGCTAGGAAGAGCCGAGCTCAGGGGATTTTCTGGCTTGTGCTGTGAAGTAGTTGACTGCTTCTGTGTCCAGTCCTTTCAGACTTTGAGAACATGTGCTTGAGCCCATGGTAAGGTGCAGAAGGTGCTTATGTTTTCTGTCTGAGTGGTGGTGGTGGTCTGGGGTGCCTCTGCACGGGTTGGACTGTAGATGATGCTCACGATAAATGAGCCTGGGTTGAGACTGACCTTGAGTCTGTGTTGGAGTGGGAGACCTTGCTGTATTAGGGTCACTGGAACAGGCCTGGGTGGGAGATGATGATGTTTGTTAATGGTGGTCTTGTGCTTTTTTTATCTTCCGGAAGAAGGGGAACAACTAGGGTGTCTGATGCTACAGTGCTTTGCATTTCTACCCAAACAAGTTTGACCCTCAAAATACTGATGTTACCTAGATTCTGTGGAGTCTGCATCCACCTTGTCCAGGATCCTCTAGGTATCCTGAGGGATGAGCAGGCCAACAGAGCAATTGGTCTTAGGAGCTACAGCTAGATCCCTCCTCAGTCTGTTAGGAAGGATTGTTCACCAGGTAAAGCTCTAAGTATATCTTGGTTTTCAATTCTATAGTACTTGTAAGACTGCACATCAAAGGTTCCCCTTCCCCTTTTACACAGATATCATCTCTGTCTGCTATAAAGCTGAGTTACTGAGAATATGTTAGTTGTTTTATCAGTTACCTGATTTGTCTTTTTATTGTCCCTTTTTGCTTACAGGTCTCTTAGTAAAAATTGCACTAGAAAGTGACTCAGCCTGGGTGTATATATATAAAAGATAGATATATAACAGCAATATTTTGTGGATAATTATGCCTATTCAGAATTTTCAGGTTCTGGGACAGATGACTTGAGAAAAGGTTTGACCAGATGGAAAGGTCATGTCATTCTTTCAAAAGTCATATGGCAGCTCTGTAGAAGTTAACATTTTTGGGTGAGATATATTTATTTTACATGATAGGTCTTGCATTTTTGTTAAGAAGCATTGATTTCTATGGGAAACTCAGTGCTGTTTTAGGGGCAGGTAGGGTCCTTTGCCTTTCCACTACTGGCATTGATTAGTTCTAGGTCAGTAGCAGCAAAAGCTTCTAGAATCTGAAGCATTATTCCTATAATGTGAAGTTATAGGGAACTGGTGAGCTTGTCTCTTTACTGGTTTGGCCAGTGCTCCTCATCATGAAGACTGTAGTCAGGATTTTGGGAATGGGTAGAAATATATTAATGGTGTGTGGAGGAAGGAGGTGGGTCTTGGCTGTGGGGAAGCCTGCCTGGAGCTGCACACCTCAAAACTGAAACAACAAAATTGACCAACAGCAATCTGGAATCTTTTTCTTGTTTAACATTTATATCTTAGATAGACCCACTTATTTCAGTAAAACTACTTGTTAAGTAAGGAAGCATATGACAAGTGTTGAACTGTTGAGGCAAATCTGCAAAATGGGAGGTATTTTTAGGCTTAGTGGAAGTTGCATGAAGACTTAATTAACCTTTTACCTCAAGATGTCCTTTCCCATCCTTTGCTTAAATCTTGAGTCACCTTGATGGCTGAGGTAGTCCTTGATGTGTATGAATTTCTCTATTTTGGTTCTGCAAAGATTCTGAAAAGATCCTTAAGTAATTGTAAACGTTATGCCTTGCTTCCCTTAAAAGGCTCGATTTGAATGCAACTGACAGTTAGTTTAACAAGAATTAAATTAGTGTGCATGTAGTTTTCAGGTGTGACCTTATTTGATGAAGACAGATTGGGGAGAGTTGGCTAGAAACATTTGTGAGATAGGATCCTGAAAAAAGAGAAGATCTATATTTTTGGAAATACGAATGCTTCTTACCTAAATTGCATCCTAAAAATGAATTTACTTGAAAATGTTGCAGCCAACTTTTTTTTTTTTTTCCCCAGAATGTTGTAACTTTGAATACTTTTCTGAGGTTATTTGAACCTTTCTTCTGTTTCTTTTTTTCCCTTTTAGATTCTAAAAAATATGGGGTTTTCAAAATATACTACCTGTATCCTAAAGAGGCATTTTTTTTCTTAAGGAGA